TCGATGAAAAAGCAAGATGAAGACAAAGATAAGAGGGATAAAGAGGAAAAAGAGAGCAGCAGAGAAAAAAGGGAGAGGTCTCGAAGCCCAAGAAGGTATAATACAGTTGACACATACCTAATATTCTATAGGTACTTTAGGGCTTAAGGAATTCTCTGGTAGAAACGTCTAGTAGTGTGATTGAGGGAATTTCTTCATTGTACAGTTTTCATGGTCGATCTGTATCTTGACTTGGGCTAAAAAAATCCTGTATGTTGTGGAACTTGGTAGCATATGCTTATAATCCCAGCTACCTGGGAAATTGAAGGAGAAGGAGTTCAAAGCCATCTTACGCAACATGGCAAGACTACATCTCAAAAAAAAATTTTTTTAAGTTTTGTTTGAGGCTGATCATTTGATACAATGGTCATCTAAAATCTGGTAAGTTCGTCCAGCTCTTAAATTCCTAAATGTAAGTCTAGACTTACTGTTTCAGTTTAAATATAACATTTAGTTATTTTTTATTGTATTCTGACTCATTCTTTCTCTTTCCATTTCTTTTTTATTAGAAATCTGTACAGTAGCCACTCATTTAACTTACCTTGTTCCCTGTTCTGCTTTTCTTAGATGGTTGTACTGAACCCAAACTTCAGATCATTTATTTGTTTTCTTCCTTCCAATGAGACTAATGTTAGGTTCACATTTTTAAATCCACGACTCAGCTTCTACTGTACTCGTGGTTAAAGGTGAGAAATCCATTAGGTTTTTCATTTTTAGGGTTTTTGTTTCATAAGTCAGCTGGAATTAGTAAAGGGAGGCGGAATTATTTTCTTTGTCCTTTTTAGTTTTTTATACACTGTATTTGATACTAAACCCTACTTTTGGAAGCAGTACTTTTGAAGAGTTCAGCATGAGCCATCATAGTGACAGTGATGTAACTGTTGCTACTCTAAGTCTGCTGTTTTTCCTTCACTGTGAAGAAAATAGTTCAAGTTCAGCATATTGTGATTTAAAAGGAAACAAGGAGGGCTGGGAAGGTGGCTCAGTGGTACAGCGCTTGCCTTGCATGCTCAAGGCCCTGGGTTCGATTCCTCAGCACCACATAAGCAAAAAGAAAAAAGCTGGAAGTGGCGCTGTGGCTTAAGTGGTAGCACGCTAGCCTTGAGCTGAAGAGCTGAGGGACAGTGCCCAGGCCCAGAGTTCAGGCCCCACGACCGGACCCCCAAAAAAAAATAAATAAAAGGAAACAAGGAGGGCTTTTCCTCTTCCAAAGCTATCTAATGCCATTCCGGCATTTCTCTTCTGAAGAACATTGTATGTTATTTTTCTGACATTCTTGGGCTCTGCCTGAACAACCGATGTGAGCTGTCTGTATCTAAACACAGTATTTTGTTAGGGTTGATTTAAAGAATATCACTTTACTTCTAAACATCATCTTTTTTCTCTGAGAAGTTGGTCTTTGAATGAAGTTGGTCTGGGAATGATTAAGAACCTAAGGATAGAATCCCAAGTCAGTGTTTTCCTCCCTTCTTTTAATTGACACATTTGAACAAGTTTTCTGTCATTTGTTGCCCTTCTGATTTTCTCTTGGCCCTTTCCTTATCAAGAAGATGAGATAGAATATTTTGTTTACATGTGGAATTTCTCAGATACAACAGTGGGCAACTTAAAGATTATGATAAATCTTCACTTCTCCTTTTGGCCCTCTCCTTCAGTCCACATTGAAAAACCTGAAAAAATTGCTTTCATCCTAGACGCAAATCCAGATCTCCTTCCCCTAGAAGACGATCTTCCCCTGTCAGGAGAGAGAGAAAGCGCAGTCATTCTCGATCTCCCCGTCACAGAACCAAGAGCCGGAGTCCTTCCCCTGCTCCAGAAAAGAAGGAGAAAAGTCCAGAGCTTCCAGAACCTTCAGTGAAAATAAAAGAACCTTCAGTACAAGAGGCCACATCTACTAGGCAAGCACATAAAAAATTAATTTCTAAATAATTAGAATTTTTAGATTTGACTGTTAGCTGTACTGGCCAGTGGGAGGCTCTAGGTTCAGCCCCCATTACAACAAAACCATAACTAATAAGACAGTGCTTGCAAATACAACATCTGAGTTACAATTACTTGTTTCTTTTGTCTTGTTGAAATTGTATAGGAGAGTAAAAGAAAAGAGCTCCAAAGGTGACCATTGTCATAATGTTTCAAAATAGCTTGATTTAGCTTACATATACCCCCCAAAATACTGTAAAGAACTTTGTTTATCATTGTTTGGGTTTTTTTTGTTGTTGTTTCTTTGCTTGTTTCTGTGTTTTTCTTTGATGTGCTAGGGATCAAACCTAGGGCCTTGCCCTTATCGTAGGCAGGTAGTACTCTACCACTGAACTATATCCCAGCCAACTTTGTGTTTTTTTTAAAAGTGTGTGTGGATGGACTAAGAATGTGGCTTAGTGGTAGAGTGCTTGCCTAGCATGCATGAAGCCCTGGGTTGGATTCCTCAGTACCACATAAACAGAAAAGGCCGGAAGTGGCACTGTGACTCAAGTGGTAGAGTGCTAGCCTTGAGCAAAAGCAACTCTGGGATAGTGCCCAGGACTAGCAAAAAAAAAAAAGAGAGAGAAGTGTATGTGATTAAGTATTATTGCTAGTTGTGTAGGTTCTACTGATACATATATGTCTTTTGAGACCAGAGATAGTTTTTGTGGATTTTGGAAATGAAAAATTTGAGACATACATTTTCACATCATTTTGAATAAAAGAGAAGGGAAAAAAATAAGCTTTTTTTTGACAGTGACATCCTGAAAGCTCCCAAGCCTGAACCTATACCAGAGCCTAAAGAACCGACTCCAGAAAAGAATTCCAAAAAAGAAAAGGAAAAGGAAAAGACCCGACAAAGATCTCGGTCACGTTCCAAGTCAAGATCCCGTACACGTTCTCGCTCACCGTCTCATACTCGACCAAGACGGCGCCATAGATCCCGATCAAGGTGGGTTGTGGCCTTAAGATCAATATAGGTTTTGATTGTATTACTGTTTTCCATTATTACATAATTTCAAATTTGTGGGAAATCTTTAATACAAATATTACTGGGATATACATAGAGAACTTAAGAAAACTGCACCATATAAAATCTCTACATGAACTGGGTGCTGGTAGCTCGCACCCTATAATCCTAGCTACTCAGAAGGCTGAGATCTTATTAACCTGTTGAAGCCATCCAGGGGCAGGAAAGTCCATGAGACCCTTATGTTCATTTAAGTACCAAAAATCAAGAAGTGGAGTTGTGCATCAAGAGGTGTAGAGCACTACTAAGTGCCTTGGTACAAAAGCTCAGCTAGTCCCAGGCTCTGAGTTCAAGCCCCAGGACAGGCACCAAAAAAATTTACTTTTTTTCTATGTAAGTGGAAGATTCTGACTCTTAACATTCATTTTTCCAAATATGGCCGGTGGGGGAAATATCTCTGTCGAGTAATTGTAAGCTCCTTACTTAGAGTCCAATTTTGTTTTGGCAGATCGTACTCACCTAGAAGGCGGCCCAGTCCAAGGAGACGGCCTTCTCCTCGAAGAAGAACCCCACCAAGACGAATGCCGCCTCCACCAAGGCACAGGAGGAGCAGGTCTCCTGGGAGACGGTGAGACCTGTTTGTTTTGCTTCAAATTTGTTTAAAAGTGTCAGGTATTTGACACAACTTTGGATAATTTTTGGGGGGGGAGGGCGGGGGGCAGTCCTGGGGCTTGAACTCCTTAGGGCCTGAGCACTCTCCCTGAGCTGCTTTTGCTCAAGGCTTCTGGCCTTTTCTGTGTATGTGGTACTGAGGAATCCAACCCAGGGTTTTATGCATGCTAGGCAAGCACTCTACGATTAAGCCACATTCCCAGCCCCTGGAATAATCTTTATTTGGAGATAATTTTAGGCTAATTTTTAGTATTTTGGAAAATATTTTACAAATCATAGAAAATATCTTTGAGCTGGGCTCTAGTGGCTCCCGCCTATAATCAATCCTAGCTTCTCCTGCCAGCTACCACCAGAAGTGGCATTGTGGCTCAAGTAGTAGAGCATTGGTCTTGAGCTAAATAGCTGAGGGACAGTGCCCAGGCCCAGAATTCAAGCCCCATAACCAAAATATAAATAAAGTGAGAAAGAAAGAAAATATCTTCTGATTAATTGGGGATAAGAGTTTCATGGACTTTTCAAAACCTGGGTTGGTTTCACACTGTGATCCTCAGATCTCAGCCTCTTGAGTAGCTAGGATTATAGGCATGAGTCACCAGTTAATGGCCCATTTGGTTTTCAGCTTATCACTGGCTTCTGAAAAGTAGCCAGCTATAAGATTGGTAAGCTAGTTTTGCTGGTTGGTTGGTTGGTTGTATTTTGTTGTTGTTTTTTTCCATTGTGGGGCTTCAACTCTGGGTCTGGGCACTGTCCCGCAGCTCTTTTTTTTTGAGTGGGGGGGGAGTCCGGTTGTGGGGCCTGAACTCTGGGCCTGGGCACTGTCCCTCAGCTCTTCAGCTCAAGGCTAGCACTCTACCACTTGAGCCACAGCGCCACTTC